GTTAGAAAATGTGTGGCATGTTTATATCACACGACAGAAAAAGAATCTTGTGCAAAACATTTTTCGTCATCATTTCAAGATGTCATCTCTTATTAAGTATGCACTCAGTGCATACTTTGTGCTATCCTTGTAATAACCTCATAATATTCATTAAAAACTGCTGCATTTTAATTTACTGAACATACAATTTTAATGATTTAAATTTACCTGCACATGTTCATCACCTTCTCCTCTCCTAATTTCATCACTTGTCAGAGTTTTATCAAACTCAATATCAGGCACACATCTCAAAGTCACATCATGGTCATCCTCCACATCGTCATCATTGTTATCTTGAGTAATGGCACCAATCTCAGATGCATGGAAACTACTGTCATCAAAACTCCATGGAGTACTGGCTACATCTTCAGCCATAGTGTTACTATATGAATGAGTTGTTGGAAGAAAAAACTTGGAAGCAAGCTGTAATTCATCCGAATACTGTGAGTCTGAGTCTCTACCACTTGCTTGGCTATAAGTAGATCCCTGAAAAGGCCTAATATGTGAGGGTATGGTACTCCCGCTTGGACTGACAAACCGTACTTGGCGATTCAATGGGTCATCATCGCCAGTTGGTCTCATCCTAGACGAACCCTAAAAAAAAATGTATGTCTTCAATTCAACAAGTACATATATATACTTACACATTTGTATTATGACATAAGTACTTATTTTTAGAAGCTCATGATATGATAAAGAAACAGTGAACTAAACAAAAAATCAAAGAAAGATTAGAAAGAACTCCTGTGTGCTGAAGAAATTGGAGGCATGAAGTTAGCACATGTGCTTCTATTAGAGCAAATACAGCATTTAAAAATATAACTGCAAGCAATGATCAGGGAGGTTTCAAGTAGCTATGGTTTAACAATTGAATGAATATTGAATAAAATAATGACCAAATATGAATGAATGAAATGTATTTCACCAGAAACAGTGTATACATTGAGTAGTAAATTATAAATAAATAAATACTAAAATTAATAATAGTAGTAATTACAATGATAGTAATGTAGTATATATTTTTGTTTCTGGTGTGGTCACAGAAATAGTTTATTCAAGCTAGTCTAGTCTGTGACCTATGATCCAAGATACATAATAAAGTAGTGATAAGCTAAGATGCACAAGACATAGTTAAAGCATGTAATGAATACTATAATAGCAATAACAAATTTGGAGTCAAGAAAAAAAAAACGCATACACATTGCACATCAACTGTCTCAACATAAATTATGTAAATATAACACATGCATTCACACACGCATATACATGCAATATAATAAACATGTCAGACAAAATTACAGCACCAGTTACATGTCCCTATCAGCAACAGTACTGATATCACATTGATTTCAACCAAAAACTATTCAGGATTGCACATATTGCACATTGAGAAACAAGTGAAAATCTTTAAAATGCGCTAATCAATATGCAAATTAGGTAATTAATATGCATGGTATAAATGAAATACTTATCAGGTCTGTGCATTGTCCTATGACATCTATGTACTAAGTTTCATTGTAATGTGATGAGATTAGTACTTGAGATTTCAGTAGAAAATTGACAAATGATTATGCAAATTAGGTAATTATTATGCACAGATTTTTACCCAAACTAATCAGGTCTGTGAATAGTCAGAGCATCGATGTACCAAGTTTCAATGAAATGATTAGTACTTGAAATATCAGCAGGAAAGCCGAATATTTACTAGCTATGCAAATTAGGTAAGTTATATGTATGGATATTATCCCAAAACTTATCAAGTCTGTGCATTGTCCTATGACATCTATGTACCAAGTTTCATTGTAATGTGATGAGATTAGTACTTGAGATTTCAGTAGAAAATTGACAAATGATTATGCAAATTAGGTAATTATTATGCACAGATTTTTACCCAAACTAATCAGGTCTGTGAATAGTCAGAGCATCGATGTACCAAGTTTCAATGAAATGATTAGTACTTGAAATATCAGCAGGAAAGCCGAATATTTACTAGCTATGCAAATTAGGTAAGTTATATGTATGGATATTATCCCAAAACTTATCAAGTCTGTGCATTGTCCTATGACATCTATGTACCAAGTTTCATTGTAATGTGATTCTCAGTACTCAAGATATCAATGGAAAATTGACAAATGATTATGCAAGTTAGGTAAAAATTTGCATGGCTTTTAACTCAAAACTAAGCAAGTCTGCGCATTAACCCAGTACATTTATGTATCTAGTTTTATCAAAAGCCAGTGAGTGGTTCTTTAGATATCAGTGGAACAGTCATGGAACAGCTAAAAAAATCAGCTAATTATCATACAAATTAGGTAATTAATATGCATGGGGATTATAACCTAATCAAATATGCACATTGGCCCAGAGCATCAATGCAGCAAGTTTCATCAAAAAGCAACATATGGTTCTTAAGATATCAGTGGAACAGACAGATGGACGGAAGGACACAAACAAACACACACACAGACACACACACACATCTTCACATCGTACCTGTCTGTGTATGTATGTCTAACAACACACATTGGATTAACTTTTAATATAGTTGTGATATGAACTTGATTAAAACGAATTCCTATATAGTGATGCTTTAAAATTGGAGTTTAATTAAACTCAATTTCAATGCAATTCAACATAGAATTGCGTTTTAATTAAGTTTAATTAAATAAAAGTTGACTTATTATAGACATGTTTGCGAAGCTTAGGTTTAGTAAAGGTAGGTATGGTACAACATTAATATAAATTGAACTATACCTTCCCCCTTTACTAAACCTCAGCTTTGAAAACTTGACTTATCATAAATTCGATTAAATCATCACAATGTAGGTCTTGCTGTCACAAGTCGGTGTAAATTGAAGTCGTCACAACATTGGTAACAAACATGCACACGTACACGTACACACACACACAGACAGACAGACAGACTAACTGCAAAGACTCCCATTGTGTGCTTCACACATGGGAGTAAAAAAAAAACAGTTCCATCTTTGAAAAAGGAAGACATGGCCTTAGATATGATAAATAACAAAAACGGATATGTTGATTACATTGCATTATTAGAAAATTGCGGGGAGCAAATTAAGGAATTGTCATTCATATACAAAAGAAACTTACATAGACATTGAATCTGATCACACACACAAAAATGGCCAAAAATTAAGGTATTATTTTTCCCCAACTTCTCAGTCAAGAATGGGCTTAGTGTATTCGAAAATATATGGAACAAAAATAGAGAATGAACATAAATAGCTTACTGGAAAATCAGCACTGTTTTTATAATCAGGCATGGGTGGAATAAGGTTGTCAACTCCATCTCCTGCTAGACCCAATCTTCGTAAGACATCCATTGTACTTGGAGCATCATTGGAAACTGGATTGAAACCAGATTCATTATCATCATCATCACTATCATCTGTACCAGCTCCACTACTCCCATCACCTCCACCACCGCCATCACCAGGCACAGGCGAAAATGAGACATCGCCTTCAGCAGACTGACGCAAACTAACTGGCTCATTCTCGGATGATATTAGAGAGGCATCTTCATTTGAGTTGCCACCTTCCAACCCAGGACGCTGTTCTTCTATTTCACCACGCCTGTGTTGTAATAAATATTGATCTCGCTGCTGCCTTGCTATTTCCTGTAGAATACCATGAAATAATAAAAAGTCGTGAGAACTACTGTTAGGTTGCACAAATTGAGAAAATCTGCGTTTTGGGAGTATTCCTATACATGTATGTATATATAATGTTGTTTCCTTCTTTGAACCTGCATGTAATATATTTCTACTCACAAAATTATATTCACTGTTTTTAAAAAAATGCATTTGTTCATTCAGTATATTTTAACATAGCTGACTATTTGATATTTTGAAAATAGTATTTTTAGCTCAAATGTGAAGCACTGAATTTCAAACTATTATCTATGTTTCATTTGTGAATTTAAATTGAATTAGTTTTGTTTGATTTTACAAGATTCAGGGTGTTTTTAAGTTCAAAATCCAGCTACAGTAAATGCAATTTTCGGTTTATATGCACTTCTATTACAGATATGCCTCTAAAAGTGCAAGTATGGAATAATACCTAAATGAACAACTTGTTTATTTACATTTGTTCAATTCGATAATCTTTTGCAGTAAATTATATTTTTTTGCAACCCAAAAATAAATATTTGTGTTTTATTATCACTCATGGTAGCATAGCAAAACCTTTTTTGCTTACAAGATGGCAGTCATCACTCATGGTAGCATAGCAACACCCCTTGCTTACAAAATGGCCATCATATCTCATGGTAGCATAGCAACCAGTGCACTTTTTCACTTTTGGTTGTTATACCGTATTTATCCAGCTAAGAGCCCAGGGTCCTGATCATGGAAAATAGACAAAAAATAGGGTAGGCCTATGCCCAAACATCCCCTGCAAAAACAAACGAAAATTCACAATACGCAGATCAAACTGCGACAGGAAATAGAATGGCAAATGAAAACATGGAACAGAATTAAATGAACAATATGCAACATTAGAAGTATAACAAAAATAATTTATTGCTTATATTGTGACAAATAAACCAGAAATAATATATCGATGACGAGGAATCATTTGAATTACGATTTCCCTGCCGACAAAGACGCCCAATACGCGTGAACTCAAAATGAACTAAAATGTTAGGGGTTAAACTGCACAAAATTATTTCTGGTCTTGACAAATTATGGATCAACTGTCATACTAGATCGATAATAATTTACACAGTAAAAATTATAAAAATTCATAGCTGTTTGAAAAAACTTCTCAGATCTTTATTGTACTTCATTGCCTTCGTCAAACTCAAAACCCTCAAAGTCCAAGTCGGCGTCACTGTAGCTGTCGAGCAAAATCCCCACAGCTTCGTCCTGAAGTTCGTCGATATTGTCCCACACAGCGTGGACTTAGCACTTTCAATCCATAGATTTCAGTCTGTCAGCTTGGCACTTTCATTCATGTCTAATCACAATAAAGAGACAAGAAAAATGGGGTCGCTCTGCTACGATGTCACGGGATGCTTTTGTTTACAGTCTGTAATCTTTGACCTTTAAGCATCTGCTTTACTGATTGGCTAAGAATGACATCACTACAAATGTTTCATCATAGAGGGCAAGTCAACATTGCTTTCTTATCAGGCTAGACGCAAGTTCCGATGGTTGGAATGTCTCACTATATAGATATTGTGATGGGCTTGAAATAAGATTTTTTTTTTTTTTAACGACAGAAGAATAATTTTCATGACAGAAATGCAATAGCGGTGATGAAAGATGGTAAAAAAATTGGCAGCCTTCAGGGTGACATTGCAAAATTGTTGGCCCAAGTTGTGGATTTGCTGCTACCAACTATTTTATAAATCCAAAAAAACGCGATTTCAATCACTCTCCGTCCCAGGTATGGGTTGCTACAATATTGCAACATTGGTTTCATTGTCGATGACGTAAAGCTGAATGTAAAACACATAAAGCACAAACCAAACAGCCCTTCTCAGAAGCACAACATCGTTTTCTGCTTTAATATACATTATTGTAGACTTGCTGATTGTTATGATTCTGATAAAAAAAAAACCTAAAATACGTGAAGGCAAAACGCGAAATTACTTATTTTACTTTCACAGCTATTTTGCATTCATCGCTCGTTTTACGCAATCTACAATTATTTTTCAAGAATTTTTATCAGAATAACAGCAGACTGCAATGTCAACTGTTAATACAATGAACAATCAAAGAAAGCTTAGAAAGAACTCCCGTGTGCTGAGAGTTTTGGAGACACATTACAAATTAATTCAAAATTACTTATACTTGAGATATTGATGGAATAGCTGAAAACTAATTATGCAAATAAGGTAACTAATATGAACAGATTTAAGTGTAAAACTAATAAGGTCTGCACAATGTACCAAGTTTCATTGAAATGTGATTAAAACCAAAAAAATATTAATTATTATACTAATTAGAGAATTAATATGAACAGATTTTAACCCAAAATTAATCAGACTGTCTATTGTCCTAAGAGAATTTATGTGCAAAGTTTTATTCAAATGTGATGATCAATA